GACGAAATTAAGTAACTTTGCTTACAAGATGATTCTTTTTTTAATCATAGCTGTGTTTTTCATATTTCGGCCACTATATTGTGATTAATGGAAATGATGAAGAAGTTTCCGTTTTATATGAAAAGATGAAATAGAAAGGATTGAAGCAAAACGAAAAAAATAAAAAGGCAAAAGTCCGAAAATATAGTTGTTAAAAGTGAAGAAAAAAACCTAAGAGTGTAATTGATGGTTCCATTCCTTCTACATCAAGTCGGCAAAATGAATCTGTCAAGATTATAGAAAAAGAAAAGATATATGTGGTAAAGCTATTTACAAAATGGATCCTGCCAAACACTGCTACTCTTGACTTTCCAAACAGCTGATGTTCTGTAGAGTTCAATAAATTCACTCATAAGCACACGTGTATCCCGAGAAGAATCTCACATTGTTTAATTTCTGAACACACAACATACCGCCACGAGTTCACAGACAACCAGTGTACACATACGAGCGTGTAAAGCGGACTTTAGATAATAGTTTCGACGATGCACAAATTCATATTTGTTTTTTCAACTCGTTTTCTGTAGTTTTGCAAATATGCCGTTTTTCCACCAAACCCGTAATTTATCAATTCAAGCTTACAGATTTAAATTATGATTGCATTTTACATAATTTTTATTTGAATATTTAATTAATACAATCAATCGTCTTATATTTACAGACAATAAAGTTAGCAATTGAATTTGAAAAATTGGTTCAGGAAGATAAAAGATTTGAAATTCCTGCTAAAAGGCATTTAGGATTAATTGTATTTAGATTGAAGGTATTTGATATTACTAAATTATAAAATACGTGTTTGATTTATAATATAAAAGATCATTTATATTTTAGGGCGAAAATGAACTAACAGAGAAACTATTAAAGCGTTTAAATTCTGATGGAAAAATACATTGCGTTCCAGCATCGCTAAAAGGAATTTACGTAATTAGATTTTCAGTTTCCTCACCTCGAATTACATCCGAAGATATTCGCCTCGATTGGAAAATCATCCAAATCACAGCAACTGAGATTCTACAAATGTATTCGAATAAGATTACAGTAAATAAACCTTCTATCAAAGAAGTTAAGAAACGAAATCCCGAATTCGGAACAAGTTTACTCTTAGCTAATAGTCCAATGATACCAAAGATCATGAATGGCAGTTACGTAGCTATTTTTGATAATACAGAAGCTATAGATCAATTTATCCAACGTTTTGGCAATGCATTTGGAAACTTGGCGAAGGACAGTCCCTCTCTTCGTCGACGTATTCGAGGTTTAAGTATAAGCAATAAGCAATACAGTCTGGATTCGAGAATGGATTTGATGAACAGCATTGTTGCTACAGCAATGAATTTATCAACAGCTTCTCAACGTACTTCAACTCCGAAAGAAAAGAATTGTTTAAAAGAATCTATTTCCGAAGAAGATGATTCTTCTAATTTAGTTGTTTGTTCCACAAAATGCCAGATGTGTGGTCAAGTTACATCAAAAGAAGCTTAAAAGTTTTGTAAATATCTTCAATATATCAGCACACATTCAATTTTGTTTAAAAGGTCTTTCAAAATTTTCTAAGATTTTGATCGAATTAAAGAAATACAGAATTGTTTCTTCCTCTAAGCAAAACCAATACAAAAATTATAAAATAGCTACAGTAGTAATTTATATTAGCAAAATGTATTTTTACTTATTTATTGTATTAAGCATTATCACATGTTTATTTAAGGAAATTATTATACAAAGTTAAAATAAAAAGAAGTTATTCAATCAAAGAAGTATTAAAAATTATTTAATATTATTATTTAATACGAAATACTTTTAATCACCAATAATATAAAAATTCCAAAAATCGGTTGATTCTAATTTATTTATACTGTGAAACCCAACCAAAATCTGTTTAAAAGGAAAAAGATCTTCGAAATAACGCGATTTTCTACGTTAAAGTTCACTGTAGGCCGGAAAACCTGTCCAAGGCGGACATCGAAGAAATTTAATACGAAGAATGTACGTTAAACTTGGATAAAGCGGAAAATTTTAAGATTCCTCTTGTAGACAAATAAGTAAAACCACCACCGGGTGTAAAGGTAATTGCAAAACGCAACAAACTGTATTCCAAGAAGTTTCGAACTTTGTCCAAAATTATCTTCAGGTCTGATGAAATTTCACCAAATCTAGTGATTTGTTGGAAACTATAAAAAAGCTACTATTTAATGATTTTTAAATGTAGTATTATTATAAGTGTATGCAACACCTTTTCAGTTTCCCGGCTGTTATGTATACATAACAAGGGAAAGTATTCAAATCGTGTTAAATTTGACCCTCCGAGTCTTTTGAAAATCTCCACGTTTTTGACCCCCCAAATCCAAAAATGTCAAAAAAAAACTGGCAAAAAATCCCGTGAATATGTGTATTAGCATCTATTTTGCTTAATATCACAGGAGGGGCAAAGATATAGAAACGAAATTTAGTATGGTATTGATGCTATTAAATTTTTATTGTAAAAGGTCAAGGAGATGAAGAGATAGAAGGTGGTCACGTATAATAGTTTTGGTCAGACTTAATGAAGATTTTACTTGTTAGCATTTGCAGTGTTTTATAAAACCATCTCTACCCTCAAAATTAAGTCTTTTGCTATTTTAAAATATATGAAATTTCTACAAAATTTCAGATGTGCCACATACAATTTTAGTTAGTTATTTTGATTAATAATACAAATAGAATTAATTAATTAAAATCGCGAGTAATGAAAAGGTTTTAAACTTCAGTAATAGCAAGACCCAGGGTTTTGTGTATTACTTATAATTATTCAAATTCGATTAACTTCAAACTATTAGATTGGAAATGAAAAAAAAAAAAATATATATATATATAACTTGCATCATATAAATTATTTTTGAATTGACTGTTTATCTTTGAAAAATTAAATAAAAATAGTGAATTAAAATTATTTTCAATATAGAAAATTTTTTCTAGTGAAAGAATTTAATTGTTATTTTATTTAATGCTTATTATTTAAATAATTTTGTCTTATTTATATTAAAATTAATAACAAACAATTTCAAGATTTTCATCATTGAATAATTATACAAGAAATTAAAGAATAAACTTTCCTATAATCAATTAAAAATTATTTAAGTTAACGTAATTAAGTTAAATTTGAATTAGAATATATTTATTCCTTCATATAACAATATAATTCTTATACATAATCTTATATTAGATTAGATAAGCAATTTTATGCTTTAATTGAAGTTTTATTATACAGATAATTTTAATAGTTAATAAATTATTTTCTTAATTTAGAATAAATTCTAAAATAAAAGATTGTATTATCAATTAATAAGACCAATTTTTACCTGAAAGGAAATGAATTACAGAATTATGAATTGATAAAATGCTTATACATTTTCTTGACATATTCAGTACAGTATATATAAATATGTACTTTATAGTGTACATAAGAATTAGAATATTCTTATAAACGTAATATAATTGCTAATAAAAATATATTTATGTAGTAATTAGGTAATATAATTAGTAATAAACAAATGTATTAAGTACGTATTAAGAATTGTATTTATTTCTAATAAATTTATATTTAGCTTCATATTTAACAAAATTTCGTTTGATGATAATGAATAATAATATATTATTCATTTTAAAAATTCGTTGAATAGATAATAAATAAAAAAATTCCATTAAATTCTATTTTTTATTCTGTTTGATACGTTTATTTTAAACGGTATTCAAAATCAATAAAAAAAATATAACTATGCATGAATGTTTTTTAGATAACTTTAGAAAAAAATATTTTTTTAAAAAGTTACAAAAGAAATTACAGTAAAAAGTAATTAGAATCTGGGGGAAAAAAAGACAATTTATTCACAGACGATTATTTGAATTAAAAAATAAGACCAATGACTGTAGATAAATTTTTTTCTTAAATCCATAACACTCTTAGTAGATTATTTACTGGAAGTATCGTTACGATATTCGCCAGTTACTCCCAGCACAAACTTCTCCCCTTTTTTTTAAAGTTTTCGTCATTAATAAAGATTGAATAATTATGCAAATATTAGCATCGACAATTTTTTTTAGTTAAAATATTCAGCTGAATGATTATTATAAGCTTGTTGCGAAGATTACGTCAATGATACCATTACATTATTTGAAATTGTATGAAATAAAGTCATTGAAATAAGTAGATACCGTGGTAGATACCTTATCGAGACAGTGTCTCCATCTGTGTGCAAAAAAATGAAATTGAATTAGAGAATTGAAAACTTAAAAATAATTTTATTTTTTACTTTAATATTTTTTTTAAAAAGTAGTTAAACAGTGTTTATTTGTGTTTTTAAAACTTTTCTTATATATAATTCAATTCTAAATTGAAGTCCTTTTTTTCTACGTATTTTTTTTTTCTTATCAAAATGTTTCAAACAATTGTTTCTTATAATTAAAAAGACAGTTTGATATATTGTCATTTCTTTCAGAGAATTTTTTTTTGAAATATTTTTTGTTCGAATTGAAGATAAAACTATTTTCTGAAACTTTTGTTGAAGAGCAGAGTTATGTGACATTATCTCCCGAATTTCTCCTTTCAGTTCTTATGCTTCCCATTCAAAATACTCCAATGGAATTTGCAGTACTGGATGCATGCCAAGAAATCTTCCAATTCACTCTGTGTATTAAATTAATGAACGGATGAAGTTGGTTATCTAAGTAACAAAAACCGATGCCTTACGAACTAAGCTCCATGCTAACTGTGAGGTTCATGTCTTTTGTCACACGTTTCCAAGTATAATTACGTGGATGTAATGTTATGTTTGGAAAAGTTCCATAATTTTCTTTTCAATAAAATGACTCTATTTCTAAGTAAATTTTAATTTCTTTACGTTTTCCGTTACGGCATTTTAGTTATATTATAAGTTTAATTTTATGAAATAAAACTATTTATTCATTTAAAGGCTTATTTAAATTATATAATATATGAAATACCTATATATATCTGTNTATAAATTATATATAAAATGATAACTTATATATATACATTAATTTTTATAAACGAATACTTACATTATTAATAATGTATAATATAAAAATTGCAATAAAATAAAATATTTAACATCAGCAAAAAATATTAAATGACAAATGTTATGATAGTTTAATTGTATCATTATCGAAAACGTATTTTTTTTTTATAATTAATGATCCAGTTTCTTCAATCGCATCTTACGATTTGGATCATCATATCACGAAAAAGTATTATCGTCACTTGTTAGAACTGGACTGAATAGTTTAGGATTAGGCTATAAGCCTTTCCTAATTTTGCAGATAAATTTAGTTTCTTTTTCATTTTGAAGAACTTAGTTGATCCTTTCTATTTTAAGTGGTATTTTAAAGCCAATTTTCAAGACACTCTCCTTCTTATCTATTTTTTCATACTTTCATGCGCTTGATAAATTTCTCTTCCACTGCCAACTTATATAAAAATAAATTAGCAGAATATACAGATTAATATTTATTAATGGAAAATAAATAAAATTAATGGGATATTTATGTAATAATTAATTGATTACTCGGTTTAAAACACTAAAAATTTTGCTTTAGACGTACTATATCAGATTCGTTAATAATATTCTACATCTGATATTACTAGATATCAAATTTGCTAATGTGATGTCGTGTGACCATTGCAGGAAATATGCTAGAATACATCTCTTCCGTCAGAATTGTCAACTCTTCTCATTATAACTCGAAGTCGACAGTCATTTTATTAGAAGATAATATACTTGTTATAGTCTAGTATTGTTAAAGAGACGATAACTAACATTGTATAGGTTATCATTATCTGTTCACACAGTATTTACTGTAATTCTTTTTGATATGTAATTATGAAAGCTGTATAAATTTTAAAAATAAAATAATTGAGGAAATCATCATTAAAATGTATTAGAAATTTTTGTTTTTGTTAGTACTTGGAGCATAAGAATTAAAAAATAAGATTAAATAAAACAAAAACTTCATAATTTTCAAGTGTACATTTAGAATACATCATAAAATATATAAAAAAAGGCAGTCTATTTTGTTTATAACTAAATTGTTTTAAATTAACTTAAACTTTCATTAGATATTACTGTTGAATTTAAACAAATTTGCATGTACTTTCTATAAAGAATTATTTAAAAAACATGAGAAATCATTAACATAATTCTATAACGTGTAGTTTATATTTCAAATCTTAAAACTTCCAGGAAAATTGTTAAGTTCTGAATCAATTGTTTAAAAATTTTGATGTGATGTAGAAAAATACAAGATAAACTTTAATGATTTTGTCAGATAAACATCGTAGACTTCTGACAACAAAAGACGATAAAATTCTTCAATGTGTATACTTGAAAATCACTTTTCTGCCTCTTTATAGCTTCTTATATTTGAGAAGAGTCCTTCAATTTGAGATAGTTCACAAATTGGAAAATAACAGCTTATCCTTTAGATTTGTTATAAGAAAAACTAAAAAAAAAAATGTTGTTATTGTTAACCTGAACGATTAAAAAACGCTCATTCCAATAAAATATTGAAATACTTTAAAACAATCTTAATTATTTTTCGTATAAAGTAA